GAGCTGCATTGGCAGGGCCAAAGCACTGTTGGATCTTGTCGTTCACCCCAAAACTCTTGTTTTCTCATTAAGGACATTGAGACACTGGGTTTGGAAAGGGATTTGGTGTCCCACATGCTGTAGCGATGTTTTGATGTGTCCTGTCTAGCCTAGCTCTGGGCTGAGAGCTCCTCCGGAGGAGGAGAGCTGTGAGTCCTGACATTTGAACAGCGTTGTGTGTGCGGCCTGCATTTGGTAAATCATATCTGGCAGTGCCTGTCTGAAACAGCCCAGGGACTGCCATGTCAACAGGAATGCAAATCCTGGAGGGGGGAATCCTTCTCTTAATCTCTAGACAGCTGGCACATGGCCTTTTCAGAGCCAGGCTCTGGGATGCTCAGCAGTAGTAGGCAAAACTTTATATTCAGTTAGAGGATCTTACCTGGAAAAGAACTTCACCACAGGCAGGCCAAAAACACCATGGAAACTTTAAGAGACTGAAAGAGGCCATCTGAAGTTTGGCAACATCAGTGACCTGTATTCTGGTGTATTGGTTCTAGTGGGGTCAGGCCTTGGGGACCTTCATACAGCAGTAACAGGTTGTAGTTTGGGATGGCTGAACGCATGGGTTAGCCACTGCAGGGCACGCCTTACCATGTTTGGTGCTGAAGCAGCATGCTCATAGGGAGCTGAGGTAGCTGTCCTAGCAGCAATCTATGTTGGTGATCTGGGGGTAGGCAGAGGTGTTAAACAAATGAAAGGTTAGAGTTGAGGTCCTTTTGGTTTTGGCTTGGCTGACACTTGGGGCTGTCACTTGTTGGACCAGTAACATTTGTCCCTTGTTCCCCAAGAGCAAGTGGGAGCCAGTGTCTGACCATGGGTGTTCTAAGAATTTGGGCACACGTTGATCCACAGCGTGCAGAGGGGCTGAGCTTAATCTGCCCTTGCAGCCACTAAGACTAGCAGCTACCCAGAACACAGTCTCTCTGCAGGGCTGTAGCCTTAAGGCATTTGCTAGATCCACTCTGATGGTGTGGCTAGCTGTCTCACTTTGTCTTTGCTGATATTCCCACTTGCTCACTGCGCCTGCTTCCTTGGCTTCCTAGAGAACTTGTCATGGTTTGTCCAGGCACCACTCCTAGGCAAGGTGTGATCTCCTGTCTGCCTCTGGGAGGAGGTATGCACACCCCTGCTTCAGCTGCGGCCAAGGTGGTGGCCAAGTGAGCTGTTTGGGAGAGCCCCTGTGGCTAAGCTTGATGTCAGGGCAGAATGGTGAGGCTTTCATGCCCTCACCGAGCTGAGTTCCTCTGGCATGCTCTTTGGGCCTCCCCCTTGTTTGGATGCTTCATGTGGTTTTTGGGTTTTGTTTTTTTTAAGTAGGGGCAGGCAAGACTTTTTCCTATGAGAGAGTAGTCAAAGGTAGCCAGTGAAGAGCTGGATTTTACGGCAAGATAGCTTGTGGCTAGGCTGGGGAAACTGCACTTCTGCATGCTGCTCTGGAGCCCCTGATGGTCTCTTTAGGACTGCTGTGGTTTGTTGAGACCTTAGGTTTTGTCCCACATAGAAAGGCACCATGAGGCTGTGAAGAGACTGCAGGGAACGTCATCAGAAATCTTCCTCCTTGCCTTTTCCCAACCTAAACAGCCTCCCCCTGGAGTGATGCTCCTCTTGCTGTGGCAGCCAAACTCTGTCATGTCTAGGGAGCCTGTCAGCAGTGGACTCACAGTCAGCTGGCAAGAGTCATCTGAGGGCAGCTGGGTGCTCCTTTTCCTTGGGGCCTGAATGTGTTGCCTTAATGCCCTGCAAACAGGGGACTGGATTGTCCCAGATTTGAAGCGGATGGTGTTGCCACTAGTTCCCTGGCTCCCCCCGCTTGCATTAACATGCAGATGACATTCCTGCGAGTGAGCAGGAAAAGCAGGAAGTCCAGATAAATAAAGATGAACTTTCTTCTCAGTGGAAAGTGGGTCAGTGAAAAGTGAGTTTCAGAGCACCATGTAGTGTATGTTATGAAAACCTGTGAAGTGTGGCAATAACATCACTCTGATCTGTGGAAAGTGCCTCTGGTTTCCTGTAGCTAGATGCAAACTTAATTGCAAATGTAATTACATGTATCTACAGTGGAACCCTAGTAAAGAGGCTGGGTGTCTCTGTTCCTCCTAATTCAGGCTGGATCCTGTGAAGTGGGAAATGCAACCACAAGTCTTCAGGTTTTTGTGTGGTTGTAGAGGTGCGACAAAAGGGAAGACTGTTGCTGGCTGATGGATGTGGCTGTTTAGCACAGTTACTCCTTTCTCTTTAAGGTTTTTTGAGAGTACAATTTATGTTATGTGTAAGAGTGATTTTTAGCAAGAGTCACTGTTTTAATATCTGCGCCTCATGGGAGGTGACTGGTGTCTCTTCCCAGCCTTGCTCTTTGAAGCAGCTTATTCTTACTGAGGTCAAGTTAGCATGTAGCAAGTATTTCCCCTGCCTTTTTTTCTCCCCTTCTTTGGTGTTGTGCTACCTGAACATCTTGTGCCCTCCTCCAGAAAGGTCAGGAAATTTTATCACCCTTTCTGTGATGCAGAACTGAGCCACAGAGATTTCCTGTGTGACTTTGGGCAAGTCCCTTAGCCTCAACAAAGCTTGAGACTAGAGCAGAGGTCCTAGTCTAGTGCTGCATGAACGAGATAACTGCTATTCCTCTTCTGGCAGCCACTTGCCTTGCTTGTTTAGCATTGGACAAGGCCAGGGAGCTAATGGCTCTGATTGGTATCACAGTGCCCCAGGCTTGCATAAAGCAAGGTGCCCCACTTCTCTGGCCAGTACCCAGCATTGCCTTTCTGTTCTGCTACCCCAAATGCAGGACCAGGCATAATCCTGCAGGAAAATGGGATGTGCTCATGCCACTAGTTGGGGTCATAACACGTGTCAGCAAAGGAGCAGAATTAAGATCATGAAGATGACTATAACATTACCATTTCCTGGGTCGAGTGCCTTTCTTTGCAGATATGATGCTTTTAATGTCAGTTTTTCCAGGAAAGTTCTGCAGCTCTTTTGGGAAAAAAAAGAAAAAAAAAAAAAGGCAAACGAAGCAAGCAGGTTGCTTCTCACTCCACTACAGCAAGACATCAGGATGCACAGTGTAGGACAGTGTGTGCAAAGCAGTGAGGCAGGAGCCCTGATTTGCCACACAGACATCCCCTTCCAAGCATCCTCCAAAAGCTTTTATCTTCAGAAGTGAGGCAGAAGGCAACTCTCCACCTATTCAGCCTGTTCAGGGAGCAAGATTCAGCAAAAAAAGCTGTGGGGCTGAAGTCATCTTGGTAGGTAGTAGAGGACCCTGCACTGTACTGACCTTCCTATGCACCACAGGTAGTAGGGCATGGAGTTAGCCAGCAGCTGTGCTCCTGCAGTCCCTAGCTGGTGTAGGAGGCTCTTGTGGGCCTTTTGATCTGGTTGGCCTTGGTACAGCTGTGGGCATGCTTCCTGCATGCTTAGGGGAGGGCCAAGCCAGGAAGAGGGAATGTGTGAACATGTCCAGTACGTGCTTTTGTGTTTTGCTTAAATTTGATGCTAAGGTTTGACTCCCAGGATGAGGTCTGACATTGCTCAGCATGTACAAAGAAAGTTTAAGACATCTTTGTTTCCAGTGAGTCATGTATCATCTACATCCAATGCAGGTATCTAAAGCACAGCTCTGCTCTTTCATATCTAACTACATAGACTTAGATTTTTGGTCAGTCTGCTGAGGTCAGTCTGCAAACTTTGTGCTGTCTCTTTGATGAACTTCTCATTTTGCTTTTCTGCTAATGCAGCTTCAAAGTGTCTGCCAGTCTCCTTGTGTGCCTTAAAAGTGAATCCTCCATTCTGGGGTGACAGTGTTCCTGGGGAATGTGAACAGCATTGCAAGTTGCCACTCTAAAAGCCAAAGATAAATTTTCTACATTGCTTGTAACTTCTGTGGGTGATTCTTTGTGGTGAGAATACTGCTGTTAAAATTACCTACAGTTATGGCTGTTGGTGAGCTTCAGATGTACCACAGCATCCTTCACAGCCAGTTCTTGTACTGATTACCACCATCTGGGTGTCCACTCAAGGCAGAGATTACAGCATCCGTATTGTCAGCTCTGTGCAGGAGTCCTCCTGCTTTCCTGATGCACGTATGTGTCTATGTACACTCTACTTGCCTGCAAAGCATTAAACCCATTACATAAAGAGACTCTTTTGTCTCCTTGTATGATTACAGTCTGATTACAGCACAACACGCAAACAGAGCTTAGGGGAAAAATGCAGTTATGAGGAGAGGGACCAGTGAAATGGAGGTTCTGCAGCAGTGATGAAATAGCCCCTTTCTCCTTTGGTGGCTTTTGTCCCTCTGCGCTGAGTCCATGAACTGGAACTTTCAACCATGTACGTGGTTTCACAAGTGCATTCTTGTTTGTTTGGCTTTGTTTTTCCCCTGTTCCCCCTTTTGGGCTGTGTGAACTCTCCAGAGTTGCTGCTCATACCAGGCACTGCTGCAGGGTCCTTCCAGTGTTGAACTCAAATTATCGCTCTAGTAGCTAGAGAACCATTTGGGGGAGGTAGCCCTGTGGCTCTGGTAGATTTTCTTCTGTCTCTAAAAAGCTTTAGAGCCTACATACATCAGCATGTTCTAGAGGGGGGCTGAAATGACTCCCATGCTGGTATGCAGAAGGGATTGCACAGGGAAGTACAAGTGCATGATGTTGGTCCCTCAGGCTGGAGCTGTTGACTGCATTGGTGACTTTCCACCAAAGCCATTCTATGCCTGCTCCTGGTAGCTATCTGTGTCTCTTGCTCCTCCTGCGTTTGCATGCACTGAATCAGCTCTCCCTGGCCCGCTTCCTCCTCTGGCAGTCTTGAAATGAGCCCTTTTGCAAGAGAGCCAGGTACACAGCTTTTC